CTCACGCCCGCCTGCCAATAACCAATAAATCACGCGCAAGACCAGCGAGCGCAAACCGCACGCACGCACGCACGCACGCACGCACGCACGCACGCACGCACGCACACACACACCAAGCAAGGGTTGACCTTGCCTTGGGGCGGCCCCCTTTTTGGAAGTGTCTCAGCGGCCAGTTGCGCAAGGCCGTCTGCTGTCGGAGCTCAGCCAAGAAGCCCGGTTCCCAATTCCTCCGATTTGGGTTGTTGTTGCGGTTCATGCACATCAACCGAAAATGCTTCCTTCAGGCGCCTCAGTGAAGCCACGGACCAGCAAATGCAATCTTTCGGGCACAGCATCTGTTGATGTTCGTATTTTCCAACGGAAGCCTGCCAAACTAGCAACAAACAAGCGACACAAAAAGCACTGTGACTCAGGATAACTTTTTCTTTGGCGTGGTGACCCCCGCAAAGGGCATGAGTAATATGCTCGATCAGGGAACCGAAACCTCCACTGCAATGAAATTGTACGGCGGGACCAAGTCTCGAGACCGGAAGCGCATGCAGTACGTCATACGCCGCCACCTGCAACGACCGTCACAGACCAACACAACCAGCGACAGCGGCAAACCTGAACAGTGCTTCGGATCGTAAGCCATCCACCATCATGCTGGAATGCAGTGGCCACTGCAGGCAGTGGTGCTGCAAAGTCTCGGCCAAGAAATCCGGAAAGCCTTATCTTCTCAGTGCAGGGGCCGAGCAGCCCGGTTTCTGTGGCACGAAAGGTTGAGTTCACAGGAAGCACACTGCCAGTCGGGCTCCGGTTTCTGTGGCACCTTCGCGGAGACGAGTTCAAATGATGCGATGGTGTTCTTGAACAGATCATGGGCACTGACTTAGTGTCTGGCAGTGTACAGCAGTAAGCCTGAATTCAACCCCAAACCGAAAGCCAAGAAACGATAGTCAGTGATCAATCAAGTTATGCTGAAGCTGGGCAGCTGTAAAAGCAGATGTCAAACTCGTCGTCCGCACCAACTTTCAGCCTAGGGGCACACTTCGATTCCTTTAGCTCCTCATCTTTCAATGCCACCATGCTATACAGAAGCCTGTGCTGACCACTGTCAGATGAGGAACTTTGAAAAATAAAGGCACAATGCATTACACCCAAAAACGCAAACCTTAAACGAAAAGCCCACCAAACCCAAAGAACTGTAAATCTAGTCAGGCCAAGAGCTTGGAAACATCGAACCCCAGCAGTTTGCTAAGTGCACGTGCCGTGTTGACACCATGAGGTGTCTCATCCTTCGACCTGGGTTCAGGGTGGGTTTGGGATTTCCTAAGGCCGGGTGCTTTTGCGTCTAGGAGCCCTGAGATGTGGCATGTGGCGCAATGCCAATAACAGGACTGGCAGAGATCATACTCGAGGCATGAGAAGAGACAGTTCGTGAGTGATAATGGTCCCTCGTAATTCTGCGTAGGGATATTCATCAAAACACACCATTTTCACACCACCAAATGCTAAACCGCTAATCCTTAAGCCAAAGCTCAACATTGTTGCCAGGCGTCGGCACCACGCCGCCGAAATCAATGTGGAGGAAGGAAGCCAAGGCCAGCGTGTGAAGCAGCTGCTGCGCGCGAGACCCAAGACCTGTTTTAAAAGGACTCAAGTAGGCTGGGCTTTGGATCTACGGCTGACTATAGGGTTGAAATTAGGGCCTTAGGGTTCAAGTTCGGAATTTAGGGTGTAGGACTAGGCTTTTCATCGACGCTCTCAGCTCTCAACAATACTCATCTGCATCAATTCATTTACAAACTATTTTGCATTGTCATGCACTCTGAACCTCTAGATGTCTATATATACCATACTTGGGAAGAGTCAGAAGAGCTCGGGGATAACCCTTGAACTGTACACCCTAGGCCTTAAGTAGCCCAGCTCCAACCAGGATGATAGTGAACCGGAGCCCTCTCGCAGCCCAGTTGCCATCAGTGCGCTCTGTGAGAAACAAAGTGGGTCCAGATCCACCTGGCCCCAAAAAGTCAGGGATTGCCGTTTCGTGTTCGGGGCCGAGTCAGGATTGCAGCTGCGGCAACTTGCTCACAACTTGCAGAACTGGTGACGCCTCCTCCTTTGCACATGGGACCTCAGCATGGCAAACTACGATAGGCTCGACTGATCCACTCTCTAATTCCAAAACTCGAAACCTACACACGGTCGCGTAGAACCCAATTGAAACGGCGTGCATGATTCATGAACGTAGGAAAACCAGCAGAGCAGCAAATTCTGAACAAGTGCAGAAGCGGTACATAGCTTGGGAGGAAATGCTGGCCGCAGTTTCTTCGCAAGGCTGGGAGGTAGGTCATACCTCACCATATGCCACTTATCCGGAAGCTGACCTCAGTTCGGTGTTTGTGGATCCTGAACTGGGACGGAGGATGCATTTTGGCTCATATGGGTCAATCGTAATTCCGGTTTACATGGCGAGACCGGGGCTTGATGGTATAATGGCTCAGACAATGACCCAGAGATGCCTCTATGCATCTGCAATACATGTGCCTACCATAAACCCCGAACCGCAAAAAAAACATGTATGCGTGCGTGTGCAAACAGATGTTCGTACGTACATGTGCATGTACATGTATGTATATATATATATACGTATGTGTGTATGCATATGCATATGCATGTGTATGTATGTATATATATATATGGTACCCCCCACAAGAAACCACCTCCAAGCCTGTCTGTATACATGTATGCCACCACGTGGGGCCACATGTCTGTAAAACTGCACAGACAGACACACACACACACACACCCATGGATTAGTGTACAAGGGACCGTGTACGCCAGATCATGCCCGGTATAATTCAGTATAATTCAGTATTTATACTGAAACCCGGCCCAGATCAGAGATCAAAGATCAGAGGTGCCGTGGACAACTTTTCGTGGTTTTTTTTGATTTTCTGACCCGGGCCGGGTCTCAGAATTTGTACTGAAACCCGGCCCGGATCAGAGATCAAAGATCAGAGACGCCACGAAAAAGTTTTCCACGGCATCTCTGATCTTTGATCTCTGATCCGGGCCGGGTTGCAGTATAATTCAGTATTTATACTGAACCACATGGTGGATATGAGCATCATGTTGTCATATACTATACATTTGTTGTTAGTTTATGAGATGTATATATATATATATAGATAGATAGATAGATAGATAGATAGATAGATAGATGGGTCTCAGCATTCAGACCATGTGAGTGGCCCATATATACCTTATAGAATGCACTGTAGAAGGCCCTTATGGAGGGTCTTAAAGACTACGTTGTATAATACTTGATCCAATGCCTTCTATACATCCTATATACATCTTATAGCAGACCATCTGTACTACCCTGTAGAAGACGTTGTAGAAGATCGTTTATGTACGCCCTGAATACCACATATGTTCATATAACCCTTGTAGAAATATCCTGTAGAATACCTTGTAGGATACTTCTTAGACTCCCCCTATAGAATACCCTATATACACTTCGCTATAGATAAGGATTTTCAATATGGAACATCAGCCGACGCCGAAGATCTGAGACTTTCCAGTTGAGTTGTAGCCAATTGAGAAACGGTTTCATATGAAAGAAATCAGGAACCTAGTAGTAGAAGAATATCCTCGAACATACCTTATAGAATAACACCCTCGATATACCTTCAAGAATTTCATATAGAATACCCTAGGCGTTACCATATAGAATATATCCTATATACCTGGCATATACCTTATGGAATACCCTTTCGCCTACAGAATACCTTATAGCATTCTTTCCTGTATATGTATATATGCACCCTAAAGAGTACCTTTTACACAAGACCTTGTGAAATACCCTATAGATACCAGGTAGAACGCCCCATGGAATACGTTGCTTTTCTCTACAAACCGAATACCAGCTGAAATACTGTATAGAATGCCTTGTGGAAACACCCTGTACACGATGCTCCCTGCATACCTTATATATACCCTTGCGAATCCCCTTGGAATGCCCGAAAGAGAACCTATAGATCAGAATTTATACGGGAGAAGTCAGGAGGAACCCATTTGTAGCTTATTGAGCAAGGGATTTCTATGAAAGAAATGATGAACAAAGGAGAACAGCAGGTGGAATACCTTGCAGAATACCCTTCTATAAACCTTAAAGAAGTTCAGGTAGAGCACGGAAATACCATATACAGTATATAACCCCTTTTTACCTGTATACCGACAATCTGCGAGTTCCCCAGTTGAATTGTAGTTTACTGGGTAAGGGGTTCATAAGAAGGAAATCTGAAATCAAGGATCTAGGAACTCCTTCAACAAATCGAAGTTTACCTGGCAAGGGGTACATATAGGGAACAAAATCCTTATAAAACACCCCCTGTACATACCCTGTAAAATAGCTTCTGCAACACCCTCTGGAATAACCCATAGAGTACCCTTTAGACTACTTTATAGAATACTTTATGCAATTCCACCGATATACCCTATACCTTATAGAATACCATCTGGAATGTCTTGTAGAGTACCTTATAGAAGACCGTTCACATATGATACATCCTGTATACCTTATGTATGCCATATAGAAAACCTATACATTACCTTATTGGATACCCTGTAGAACCCCCTAAAGAAAACCCTATAAAGCAGCCTATAGATAGGGATTTAAAATGCGGAAAACCAGTCAGAGCCCAAGATCTCAGAAGTCCCGGTTGTATTGTAGCTTTTGGGCAAAGGATTCCTATGAAGAAAATCAAGAACCAAGAAGAGTAGCCTTACAACCACCTTATACAATACCACCTCTATATACTTTACAGAACTTCATATAGAATACCCTATAGAATATTTTCCGAAAAAGCGGCTACAGAATACCTTGTGTACAATACCTTATGGAATTCCCTATAGAATACCTGAAAGGATGCCCTGTAGAATACCATTTGGAATACCCTGTAGTAGAATACCTTACACAAGACCGCCTATGTAATATACCCTCTGTATACCTCAAACATACGTCATAGAACATCCTCTAGAATACCTTTTAGGATGCCCTCAGGAAAACCTTATGCAATACCCGAAAGCATACCCTACAGATAAAGACTTGAATATGGAAAATCAGGAGGAGCCCGCCGTTTAATAGCGTAATATACAGAGAACATTAGACAATACTTCGTTGTATTATGTTGGTTCGAACGGTGCTGTGTCGTCGTAGACAGGAAATACTAGGCAATACTCAATATCTTTATCTCGTTTTGATCGGTTTTGTGTTGTTGTAGACAGTGAACACTAGGCAATAATTTGTAATTGGTATCATTATCTTGGTTTGACCGGTGTTGTGTCGTCCTAGAGAGGGAAGGAAGACTAGGCAATACCTAGCATCATTGTCTAGGGTTTGCACCGGTCTGTGTCGTCGTGGAGAGGAATAAGCAATACTCACTATCATTAACCTTGGTTTGAACGGCTGCAGGATACAAGACTTCCGTTCGGAGTAGAGTCGCAACTTAGTCTGAAAAGGTACAAGAAGAGACGTCGAGGTAGTTTTTGGAGCGGTGGGTAGCATATATATATATATATACATATACATACACACACATGTGAGTGTTATATGCACACATAGGTAGGTGTGTGTGTGTGTGTGTACACGCCTGGACATGGCGACTTTTCGGTGAGAGAACCATTTGCTGCAGGGGGGCAGTGCATGCCTGAAAGTCACTGCCCAACGAAGACACTGTCAGTGCGTGGTGATACCTGGCCTCATCAGCCAGACGTACCTGCTTTCGGATTAGGCAGTGGGCCCCCTGTGGCACTGGAGTAACCAACTTTAGAGTGAAGCTTCTCTGTCAGTCTGTATGGTTGCGCAATCTGTCGTCGTTTGGTCCTGTCAGTAACTCGTCGCAGTCATTCGTGCCGTGCCAAAGTGTGTTTTGTTCCCTCGGGTAGCACAGACCTTGTTCAATCACAAAGACGCCCTGACACCATGGGCGGCTATGCGCACCGCGACTTGCAAGTGTGAAGTCATTCGGCCTTTCGCGCCCGAGGCCCCCGTGTTCGCGGGCCATGTGGTGTTTCCGGGCACCACTTCTGCCGATCCTTCCGCACGGGACAGGAGCATTAGCACCTCTGCCGCAAAACTAAGCGCCCGAGTCCTCAAGACTTTCGACTGGCACAAATCACCTGATCGAATGGATCTACATTGACATCGACCTCCATCAATTCATGCTCGTCGTGTCAAATCACCTATCCACCCTGAGTGAAACCTTTGTCTCAGTGACACGCAGGATAAAGTGTGCCACTGCAGCTGTCACTGCATCGCCATGTCTCCCTTGCACTGCATTCAGGCGCAGCCGTGTCCTTTTTTTCCCCACCTTTTACAACATGGCAGAGAGAGACCACAGCCGTACACCCCTTGCCTCAGCCAGCCTTCTGGCCCTGGACATGGCGCACGGAGAACTCCGCTGGCAGCATCACATGGTGGTGGCAGTGGTTCAAAGTGACACGCTCATGGATCAGAACCAAAGCTCGTGAAAATAGACCTCTCGCTGCAGATAGTGAGGGCAGCTCGAGTTCGCCCTTGAAGCGCAAGCGTAGTCGCTCCATGTAGCAGGAAGACGGCCAAATTAACATTGATTCTGGGCCGTGACCTAAAGCTTGCATGATCTAAGAGTGCCAGTCGATGGCTTCCCAGAAGCATCTTTATCCGCTTACAGGCTTTTCTGTCAAAAGGTCACGAATCCGCTGCAGCCCCGCTACATGGCATGTGGGTCGGCACATGCCTGCACATGACGACTCTTGTTGGATCGCACCGCCGTTTCGCTGCAGCCCTGCTTTCAGGGCATGTGTGTGTACACGCCTGGACATGGTGACTTTTCGGTGAGAGAACCATCTGCTGCAGGGGGGCAGTGGTTGGCTCCTCCTCCATCTCCGGCTCTCCAGGTTCTGCAGGCCGACCTTTTTGCTGCCCTGACGGCGAAGATTCGGCGTGATCTTCACGCGAGTGCATGCCTGAAAGTCACTGCCCAACGAAGACACTGTCAGTGCGTGGTGATACCTGGCCTCATCAGCCAGACATACCTGCTTTCGGATTAGGCAGTGGGCCCCCTGTGGCACTGGAGTAACCAACTTTAGAGTGAAGCTTCTCTGTCAGTCTGTATGGTTGCGCAATCTGTCGTCGTTTGGTCCTGTCAGTAACTCGTCGCAGTCATTCGTGCCGTGCCAAAGTAAGTAATTAAGTACGTACGTACGGAAGTAAGTAAGTAAGCAAGTAAGCAAGTAAGCAAGCAAGTATAAGTGTGTGTGTGTGTGTGTTCGTGTACACAACATCACATCATACAGATTGTGCAATCTGTTATGTG